ACCTCCATGTGCAGATTTCGTGGCAGGCACAGCGCTTTGTGAACCTCCATGCTTCTCCGAACCTCGACGGGAAGCTCCGCGGAACGACGGTTGCGAGACGGTCTCGGGTCATGCTCGGATCATTCTCGGATCATGCTCGGGTCATGCTCGGAATCGCCCCTTCACCGGAGGTTTTAGTTGTTGTGCAGATTTCGTGGCAGGCACAGCGCTTTGTGAACCTCCATGCGCAGAGTTCGGAGAAGCGCTACGCAGAGACCTGTGACTTGATCGCCAGTCACATGGCATCTCACACGCACAAAGAAACTGGCCACACGTGGCATATGCCATGTGTCAAGCCATTAGCGGCCCGCAAGAATTACCCTGAGTGGTACCGCCACGTGAATCCCCCGAACCAAGAAGGGCATGGAGGAGGTATTAGCGATGGTTACCAAGTTGCTTAGTCGAACTGAAATGCTCAAGGATCCTGAGGCCTTACAAAAGGTAAAGGATGAGGCGGGCGGCTTAGTTGACGAGGGCGCTTGGGAGTACGAGTCCGTACGTGAAAAAGAGCATGTCCGCGCAGAGGCGAAAGCCTCCGGCATCTCGGTGCACTTCGGCAAATTGATGGCTATCGCGCCCATAAAATTTTACGAACTTGCCAAAGAGCTACCAAAGAAAAAGGGTAGAATCGTCTAGTGTGGGGACTGCGCCAAAGATGAATATGGTGCGGCGGCTGTATATGAAGAGTTAGGTGCCAACCCCACATCCGCGCAAGGGCTCAGTGCTTGCTTAGCATACGGTAGCCTCCCAGGTAACCTACGCACGGCCGCAGACGCTGTCAAGGCCTATGTGCAAGCAACGCTCAAATCCAAGTATAAAACTTGGATCGGTTTCCCCCCCGAATAAAGGCCGGCGTGGTGGAAGGACAAGTTCGTTCAACCTGTCGCGCTACTGGTGAAGGCTCTCTACGGACACCCTGATGCGGGCGGCGTGTGGGAGCAACACCTAAAACAGATCCTTAAAAGGATGGGAGGCGAAGAAATCACCGAATTCCCCGGTAATTTCTGGTTCCCTAGTTCACGTCTTATGTTATCCACTTATGTTGATGACCTAACTTTGGCTGGCCCTCGCGACCAACACGATAAGTTCTGGTCCGAAACGTAGAACCTGAACCCGTCTACAGGATCTTAGGAAGGAACCACGTGTACGCCACGCTTCCTGATTCGGGGCACACCGAAACCGCTGCTTTGCGCGGGAGCGCTGACGCACTAGTCGTCGACGCGCAGGACTATGCGCAGCAGACTATTGACCTCTACAAGTCAGTAGCCGGTGTGGATAAAGTGAAGCCCGCACAGACACCATTCCTCGTGGATGGTACCTTCTCACAAGCGGACGAAGGGACCCCAGGGGACCTTGCTCCCAAGGCATGCTCACTACCTACCTACGGTTCACCAAGGTGCAGTGAAACATTGCCACCCGACCGTCGCTCGCGTTGGCTCAAGAAAATTGGGCGTCCGCTCGGTTTTCTTCAGGGTGCCGCTTTGACGTGCTGTGTGCGTCACTGCTTTCGTCGCGTTCTCGCTTCCGCACCTTTCCTTTGCTCGCACCGTTCGTTCGATTGCCACCGTGCGGTTCCATACGCATTCGCAACGGGCACCCGTCCTTCGGACTCCCGTCGCGCTTTCGCAAGAGTAGACCGGGCCGCTAGAGATCTTGCATACTTCTTCCACAACATCCCCTTCGATAGGATTTCGTGGGCAATCTCTTACCTACCCGGTGGATTAGCCAATTCATTATAAAGCCCCTTTCTCGACGACAGTTATCGACGACAGCTCCACACGTTGGCAACCACCACCCTCGGTTTTGACGACGGGTACACGCTTTGGCGACCTCCACCTTCGTTTTTGACGACACACTTTGGCAGCCAACATCGTGCCTTCTTGTTTGACGAGCTTTACATTTTGTCGTTTTCGACGACAATTACACACTGTGGCAACTTCCAGCTGGCGCTCAACACACACAATCGCCGCAAAGTCACTACCAGCTCATATTTCGCCGGTTTGTGCATCCGACGCGGCCGCGCGCGATCTCTGCACGGGGTTCATCCGGCCCTCCACGAATTCGCACCTCACCTCACATTGAGCGTTCGGCGCGTAGTTTGTTTATATTGTATGTGAGCGTAGGCTTGATTTTGGTGTTTACTGAAGCAAGACCCCTGCGAAAGTTAGTTGACTGAAGCAAGATCCCGGCGAAAGTTACATGAACTAGTTTACAGGCGTGTTTACTTCTGTGGCAAGGTTCCAGCGAAAGTTGCATGAACTATTTGGCAGGTATGTTTGTTGAAGCGAGATATCAGCACTAACGCAGTCCACCGAAGCAAGATCCCCAGCACCAAAGCAATTCCACACAATACTAACAAGTATCATATTACCACCTCCACAGCAGCAACTCTAGAAAGCCACACCTGCAAGCTGCAGATGTACTTGTGGCACATCTACAGATGCTAATATATAAGTCTGAAACGTAGTAACGCAGATCTGTAACGCAAACCCTTTCTACAGAAGAACCCTTCGCAAATTCTCCCGGAAGAAAAAAGGGGAGACCCCACCATGAATGTCATTGAAACATGGTTCCTGTGATTGAATCCAAATTGAACCCTTGACCTGGTTTGCTTGCCTTGTGTGTTTTCTATGCAATCGAAAGGGCAGTGAGCAAGCTGAACGATTGACGTATTTTCCATGTTGTGTTGGTTTTTGGGCACCCTTTGAGACTGTGCATCTTGAGGAATCCGAGAGCATTCTGACGGACACCCTGCGGAGCCTGCACGAGGCACGCTTCACCTTAGGTGGCTAAAGTTTGAGCTTTGGACATCAAACGAAGATTGGATCCCAAACAAATTGTGTTTGAAAGCCATGTGATTGATCATGTATCATTCTCTCATCATTTAGTGCAGTAGCTTTAGTTTATTTTCAGTAAAGACTTGAAGAGATTCAGCGCAATTACACAGATTTCCTGCCCTTTGCTGGCTTGTGCGCTTGGCTCCAAAAAAGGCCAAAGAGAGGCTCAGCGCTCTGCAGTCCAAGAAGGACTTCACTGTGGTGATCGCGATGGAGGCCAAAGCTGTGAGATTGATGGGTCCCATTCAACCACCGAACCGGCAAGAGCGGTGTCCCAGGAGAGAGAAAAAGATGCAAAGATCAAGTACACAAAGCTAAAGGAGATTCGAATCAAACATGTGACTATGATGGCTCAAAACAGGTACCACTGTGCCAACTGGTAGTAAGCAAGCGGCATCGTTTTGAACCATATCCAGACAGCGATATCTTCACTGCGCAGGAGCAATATGAGGGAAAATTCGAGATGATGGTGACTTTCCATCCAAAAGACCTCGAGGTGTTCAAGCCAGCTGAAACTTCCACCAGTAGCGGCCTTCCTGCCAGGTGACGCACATGGATGGGAGTGTAGAGCCTGAGGTGAAGGGAAAAGCTTCAAATCTCAAGCATGCAGTTCAGGAGGCAGAGCCCTACCGAGTCATGGAAGCAAGGCAAGCGAGGCCAGGAGTTGTGTCTCGTTTGTCTCAGGTTTGCAAGAAGTTTGACAAAGAGGAGAGCTCCAAAAAGAACGCCCTGGCCTTGGATGGTGAAGCAACTCCTGAAAGCGTTGGACATTGCACATGCACTGGCTTATTGGGTAGCAGCTCCTTGACCTTACCAGTAGAACTTGATTGCATCCTGCCGTCTACACAGTTCTGTCAGCTTGCATTGCCTTGGCGAAGCCAACAAAAACAAAGTAACCAGATGAAATGCGAGAAAGATCGTCAGGTTTGAACATTGATTGTTTCGTGGTCTATCAGTTGATGTTTGCTTGTGTGGGCTACTTTTCAAAATTCAAAGGCTACAACAAAGTTCGGTTGGTCAGAGCAAGGATCCATTGGTTTGCCGGTCCTTTTTGTTCTTTGTCTTCAGCAAGTAGAAGGGGCTCGGTGTCAAGATTTGAGAACAGGTACTTTAATGGGGGCTATAGTTCTGGGAACTAGACACGCTTTGGGTCTTCATTTGAGCTGCGCGCGAAACTGTTCATGCGCGAGTGTACTCTTCGAGGCTCCTCCTATGATGCAGGTTGCTCCAAACCCTGTCAAATTATAGTTTAAAGTACAAAAAATATAACTTGAAGTATGATATTATGTTCTACTCACTACTCGCTACTTAATGGCGGTAGCAGGAGAAGGAGGAGGAAGAGGAGTAGTGGTAGTCGTAGTCGTAGTCGTAGTCGTAGTCGTAGTAGTAGTAGTAGTAGTAGTAGTAGTAATAGTAGTAGTAGTAGTAGTAGGAGTAGGAGTAGGAGTAGTAGGAGTAGTAGGAGTAGTAGGAGTAGGAGTAGGAGTAGTAGGAGTAGTAGGATTAGTAGGAGTAGGAGTAGTAGGAGTAGTAGGAGTAGTAGGAGTAGTAGGAGCAGGAGTAGGGGTAGGGGTATGGGGTAGGGGTGGGGTAGGGGTAGGGGAAGGAGTAGTAGAAGCAGCAGCAGCAGCAGTAGTAGTAGTAGTAGCAGCAGCAGCAGGAGCAGCAGCAGCAGCAGCAGTGGTAGGTAGTCGTGCTAGTATCCCCCACCGGTGTTCGCCTATAAATGCCGATCCTTTTGTGCTATATTATGATAATTTTGACCCTCATTTATAGGGCGCCCATGCGGTGCACACACTGAATCTTGGTGTTTTTTGAAGGTTTTGCAGGTATGAGGTCCATTTTTGCATTTTAGAAACTTGAGTGATTTTGATGCTATTAGAGTCAAGGGTGCATTTTATAGCAGGATGTTTTTTTATTTTGATACTGGCACCTGGTCAGTGCATTTTATAGGCAATTGTTTTTTTTCTCTTGGATTAGTACAGGACCCAACAAGAGCATTTTATCAATGTTGTTGGACATGTTCATACATTGTCCAACTAAAAGGGCCTTGGGCGTGTAGACACAGGCCATCCAGGCGTACTTGCACCTGCCCTCTCCCATTTCATAGACAAGGACTCTCAGGTATAGACTTGCTAGAAAGCCTGTGACTGTGGGATGGCTTCCAGCTATATATATATGTAAATACAAAGCCAGCTAGTCTATAAAATGCGGCAGGCAGGTGCAAGGGCCCTAACGCCAGCAGGCACCCGCCAGAGACATTTTATATACTACCATTGTGCCAGGTACGTTTGGGTTGCCTGTGTTTACACGCCAAAGGCCCAGAGACCCCCATTGGTCTCTAAACGATTCTTGTTTGAAGATTTGCCCAAAAGTCTCCATGTAGCCAACCAACCCAACCCAGCAGGTGAATTCCAACTAGTTGCATCTAATTACAACGCCTGCTTGTCTATAAAATGGGGGAGGGCAGATGCAAGGGCCCTAACGCCGGCAGGCACCCACCAGGGGTATTTTATATACTAATATACTACCAACATTGCAAGGACAGGCCAGCAGGTTAATTCCAGCTATATATATATAACTACATCCAATTACAAGGCGTGTTTGACAAAGTTCTGCGATGTTGCGAGGCATTTGATAGTTTCTGATTTGCGCCTGTTTGTTCACCCTCTTTTTGCGTTTGCACCCACACTTGGCATTTTATAGACAGTGAACTGTTTGATGTATTTTCTATGGTGAACCCATCATGGACATTTTATAGGTCTGCTGTTTTTTTTTGGCTATTTTTAGTGTTGAATGCTCAGAATCCACTCACCCATTTTATAGTTTAGATGCTTTTTGCTCAGCGTTGCATTTTACAGGAAATCCACCCTCTCCATGCATTTTAACGGGCCCAAAGTTTATAAAAAGCATCTAAAAGCATCCAACCTAACAATGAAGGGGGATGTTCTAGTTAAGTAAGGAGTTTGAAGGGCAACAATAGCAAAAGAGTAGACAAATCAAGAACTCTTAAAAACACCCTGGGTGAAAAAAGACTTTTTACTATTCCGTCCCATTACACTAATCAGGGTGTATGAATAATTGTGCGAAAACTGTTTACTATTTCGTCCCATTATACTAATGCGACATACTATAGACGTTGTTCCCTTGCTTGTGTCAGCGCCGCCGTCAGCGGCACTGAGTAATTTGCAACTTTTTGTGTTTTTTCGGGCTCAGGGGTTTGGGGGTCACAGTGCTTCACTTGAGGGGGCCTTGGTGAGGTTGCATCACTTTCGATTGGTTGTAATGTTTTTCTGGGGGGGCAGGGTGCCAGGCACAGGGTCCAGCTCTGTCGGGCTCACTCAGGTTCAACGTTGTTTGCGCGCTTCATTCGTTCCAACGTTTTTGCGCTGGGATTTAGAGCATCAAGATGCTGACCGAACCATTTTCACTCCGCCATGCTGACGGCTCTTGAGTTCTTCGACTTCTTTTTGCGGGCGGCGCTGCCCGAACTTTTCCATTGACCAGCAAGCAAGAGTGTGAACTCCGCAGCGTGCGCAGATACGCGCAAGATCGAAGAATGCAATCGGTGCAGGGTCAAGGCCGTGCGAGGTCAAGGGTATAACTAGGGTCTTAACATTCCATAGCCAGTGGCAGGATCTGTGAAGGGAGATTGCTCATCATGCCAACTATCGGTGCTTGTTCTCATCAAACCAGGTGCTGGAGACCTTCACTTTGTCGGGCACCGCACTGCTCTTTACCATGGCGACCTGCAGCCATGGATTTCAAGCTTGATCACAAGCATGAAGAATGCACTCTGGCCTTCAAATGGAGCACGCTGTTGGCTGTTGGCAACGTAGCATTGCCGTCGACATCAAGCCACACCAACTGACTGCTAGCGCATCTACTGCTCAGCTTGTTGCAGGAGAGCCAGAGTTGCAGCTTCCATTCCGTGAGGTGGAAGTGCATGCAGCAGAGGGCGAAGTGCTCGGTTCCACCGGACACCGAATGAGAGTGCAGTTGCGCCACGCAAGCGCTTGCGGCGCAAAACTAACTGCTACGAGCGCAAGCATCGACCCCACACGCTTATAGAAATGCGTGCTGAACTGAATGCCACTCGCCGCACGGCAACCTAGGTAACCATATTCCCGAAGAATCGTGAAAGGGACAGGTCGAAATGATGGCGGCCGCTCAAGTCTGCAGAACTCATTAGCCCTTTATGGAAGATTGGAGTAACAGCTTGAGAACATCACACCAAAAGGTACGTCACGGTGATCAGCCGTGACATCCGCATGTACTGTGGCCGCTTGGTTGGACCATCGCTCACAGCACATGGATGGTCCCTCCGCTTACAAGGAAATGCAAATCCGAAGGGATCCCTGTGACTCCAAGGGTTACACACACACACCCAAAGGGATGCAAAAATTAAGCGACGAGCTACTGTGCATGTGCGAGCGCAGCGTGGACGAAAAGATGAGGACACGAGAAAGCGGACAGACGGGATAAAAGTGTAGGCGGTTGGAATGAAAAGGGGACCAAATGCACAGGGACAAACGGTGAACCATACCTCCTTGTCAGAACCTCAAACCTGGGTTAACAGTAGATGTGCACGTACAGACGTCGACTAAGGCCCGGACCGATGTGTGCGCAAGAGTAGGAAAGGAGTGAGATGACAGGACACGAAGCAGGGAGAGGCACGAAACGAAAGGAGGAAAGAAAGTGTGTGAGAAGGGGAAAAACCAAATGGAGGGGCCGGAAACCGATGAAGCCTGACCTCATTAAAGCGACCTAGGCAAGACCTGGTTAAAGGTGTGCGTGCTGTGCGCGGGCAAAAGGCTCCAGCAGGTTCCAATGAACCTAACAAAAGCTTCGGTCGCTACGACCACGCGGTGGCGTCAAGCCGCTTGGGCCGCTGCAGTCGCCTCATGGCTTGTCCGAGGACTGCCTACTTGTTTTCAAGAATCCATCAAGACTTGGCAAGCAACTTTGGCTTACGCCTCCTACGCTCGCTGCGAGCTGCTCTGTATCCGGGCAGGGGATATGTTGGAAAAGACCCGTTCGACGGGTCCATAGGGGGGCACTAGTCAGGTTCACCCTGGGCTCTCACTAAGGAGAGACACACTTATGGAAATGCGTACTGAACTGAACGCCGCTCGCCACACGGCAACCTAGGTGACCATATTCCTGAAGAATCGTGGACGGGTTCTGATAATCTCTAGTCATTAAGAGGCCAAAGGTCCAACCACGTGGTAACGAAACGACGAACAGGTCGAAATGACGGCGGCCGCTCAAGTCTGCAGAACTCATTGGCCCTTTATGGAAGATTGGAGTGACAGCTTGAGAACATCACTCCAAAGCAGGTACGTCACGGTGATCAGCCATGATATCCGCATGTACTGTGGCCGCTTCGTTGGACCATCGCTCACAGCACATGGATGGCCCCCCCCGCTTAAAAAAAAAAGTAGATCCGAAGGGATCCCTGTGACTCCAAGGGTTACACACACAAGTTTTTGCCAGCGGGGTAGACAGATGTGGAGGAGGGCGCGCCTGCAGAGGACCAATTCTCAAGATTGCAGGTTCAGGCTGGTTGGGGCTTGATGGACAAAGAGTTGCGCGCTGCTCTGGAAACGCAGCGCCAGCATTCAACATGCAGACGGGAAGCTGCTCAGTGAAGCCAAGAGTGCGTGGGCAATGGGCGGTTGGGTTTGATGCGGCTGGGAACCATCCGACCTATGGGAACGCGTTCCATTTTCCTCGAGGCGTGCGTGGCAGGCAGCGCGGTTCAATTTCTTAGCTGAAAAGCATGGGGTGTGCGGCTACCAGATGTCAGCCCACAAGGCAGTGGCTGGGCGAAGATTTGTTGCTGCAGCGTGGCCAGGTCAGATGCAGTTCGTCGTCGAAATCTTGAACGCTGGTAAGAAGCCTAGCCACACACACACGCGTTGAGCATGGACGGTGGCATTGGCGACCAGGTCGTATTCATGGTTGGCCCCGCCGGCAAAGCGCGCGACTTTGTTTGCCACAAAAAACACCGCGCTCGTCTGGCAGTCTGGAGGGGGCAGGCTTTATGCAAGAAGCGCTGAATGAACTAGAAGAGTTGCCCCAAAGAGATGAGAGGCGCTTGGTTTCAGCCAGAGACAGATTCCAAGTCCAATAGAAACACAACGGAGGGGTGTTGTGTGGCAGCGCTGCACAAAGCGCGCAAAGGCGCGTGTCGACGAGTTCCTGACACTTGCGCCTGCCAGTCTGCTTGGAGGGTTTGCCGCTCGCTCACCTGGACACGTGAATGGCCACACCAAAATGCTATAACATTGATCTTCATTCTCGTGGTCTTGTTTAAGCAATCAACGTGCTGTTGCAATCAACACAGAGCCGGTTTCCCATTGAGCGAACATCTGAGACACTGCTTCACAGCGCAAGAGCGCTCGATGGACAGTATTTGTGAGTTTTCGGCGCAATGTTCTGCCTTGCGAAAACATTTGACACTCCGCTGACGCCCCGCTTTGCGAGCGCGAGCCTTCACTGCTGTCTCCCCAGGCGCCTCCCCAATTGTCCCCCGACTTGTTTGCTCATTGTGTGATCGTGTTTTTGTTTGCCGCTGCTGAGGTTTTGACGGTGATTGACGCGGATGTCATTTTGCACCCAATGTATTTTCAGCACATCAGCCATGACATTGCAAGCATGGAGGCCAGTAGTGAAGATTGCATTTTGAGCTGGGTTCTTGGAAAATATCATGTTATGTTGATAGCGTAATCCAGACGCGCACTTGCAAGGACAGAGGAGAAGATCCGTCATACACTTTTTGGCAGGCGTGTGATTGCTAGGCTGTTTTGAACACACTGCTCGAGGTCCAACGGCATTCGCCGTGTTTCGATGTTTGCGGGTTGGTGGTTCCGAGGCTCCTCAGTTGCCTTGGCGCAACTTTTACACCTGCGCTTCGCTCAGATTTTTCAGGCAAAGCGTACAGTTTTTTGTCATAGTTGCATGTGCATGCACAGCTTAGGTCCAGTCGTTTCACGCGTGTGGGGGTGAGCCTTTGCATTCACCGGAGTCAGGTGCGTCGTTTGGGTTCGAGTGAAACAAGAAAGGTACATCAGCTCTCTTTGGGAATTCGGTGGCGTCTCCGGACTGATCTACGGCTCACACCACATGGCACGCAGCTCAGGATCGGGAGGCGGATAACTAGCATCGATAGGTATCTCATCAATACCTGAACAGACAGTCATATTTGTATTATATCTGGCTAATCCACAGTTCAAGCCTTACAGCCTTTCAAAGATCACACAAAATGCATTCCCCATGATGTCATGACTGGTATCGGCTATTCTCAATCAGTACTTCACTATACCCAGAAGCTCCCGCTATGCTTTGTTGAAAGGTGTTCAGCGCGTACAGTGCTCCACTGGATCTAGCAAAGAATGCTGAATGTTGGGATGGTGACGTCATTGCAGAGGACTGCAAGCGCAGGTGTCGGGAGGTGGATGTTTCCGAGGTGGATGTGCCCGAGTTGCTGCTTTGCCCTTCTCCTTCTAAAGCCAGGATCATCATGCCTTTCTGAAGGCCTGGTTCTACGCCGTGTTCCAGAAGACCCAGGCTTGTTGGAATTGCACGGTCCACACAGTAGGCGAATCAGGCAAGGCTTCCCCCCCAGGACAGAAACTTTCCTGACGAATGAGCGCAATCAATTGTTTGGCATTTCTTCTTGAGGTGAGGCTCAGGAAGGCTGCTTCGAACCAGGGAAGACTAGTTTTACTTATAGGCGCGTAGAGCTTACTTTACATGATATACATTATATTCCAAAATTATACCATTTGCTTGGCATAGGCAACTGGTTTCAATAGGATGCAAGTTAAACCAAAGCTTCAAGACAAAGGTGCACATATATGTATATACGGTACCCCCCCAAAGATCTACCTTTTTCATGTTGCACATATGTTTGTAAATGATAAAATTGAATACACAAGCAGAGAGTTACCCGGCCCCCACCCCAGCCTTAACCTCAGGTGATGAAGATGATTCATATGAAGAAAATAAATAACATATTGATTATATAAACTAAATTAGCCCAGCTGGAGACCCCAATAGCAAGATACAAACCCGGACAAAAAGAAAAATCTGGAAACAGCTGCTGTTTTCAACACATCGACCATCTCTTCTTTGGACACCATAATCACATAACCGGGACACCATCACAAAATGGCCAGGGCACCATCAAAACATGACCGAGACACCGTCACAACATGACTGGGACACAATCAAAACATGATCGGGTAGGCTCACTGCGTGTATTTACTGAATTTATTGTTCATCTGTTTTCGTATCACAGACTGCCAAGACCAAAAACCAAAAAACAAAACTGTGAGGAGAATCTTTGGTTTCAGCCTGAGTTTTTTTGGTGTCATTCATGGAAAAACCAAAAAGCACAATATGGTTTTTGGTGTTTGCTTTGGTCTATACAATCACCAATGCCCAAAAACCAAAAAGACAAGTGTTTTTCGATAAAACATAAACGAAAACAAAAAACCTTGAGTTTGTTGTTTTTCTATGAATGAAACCAAAAAGACAAACAAAACTCAATCAACACCAAAAAACATCTGTCAGGCTGAAACCAAAGATTCTCCTCAGAGTTTTGGTTTTGGCAGTCTATGAGAAGAAAACAAATAGACAAAAGGTAGAGCGACAAATATGGACTCACGATTCAAGACTGCTGGAAAAGCGTTTTCTAGGCATCTTGAGGCCAAAAAATGTTGAGGCTTCCTTTTCCAGCAACCCATAGTTAACAACACCTATCAACTTATTTTTGAATGTGTCCTCTTCTTGATTATCGCCTATGTTTGTGTTCACCAACTGATTCTGAATACCTCTGTAATTAATAGAATATTGTATCTTCGCTCTTCTCTTAAACTTATCTCATACCGGGTTCTTCAAAAAAACAGCCATCAAGTCAGGGATGAAAGGATTTCTTGAATCCCCCGAATGCCCCCAGCTCAATGTTGCTGATTGGTCTCCTGACATGTACCGACCTGAATGGCTGTTTTTTCTGAAGACCGCTGATACCGAACCTGACCCGACAACATTGAAGTTGGGGTACAGGGGGTTGAGACGATGACGTGGAACGACTCTGGCGATGGCTGTTTTTTCCCCACATTGTGTTGTGGGGCTTTGGTTTTTCTTGCTGCATCCTCCGTCCTCCCGTCCTCCTCCTCCTCCTCCTCCTCTCTGCTCCTCTTCATCCTCCTCCTTCATCATCATCATCATCGTCTTCTTCTTCTTCCTCATCATCCTCATCAACACCATCATCATCATCATCATCTTCATCATCTTCATCATCATCATCAACACACCAACACACAACACACAACACAATGTGGGAAAGACGGCTTCTGTGACTTCTCAGGCTCGATCCGTGTGACAGGCGTGGCACTTTCAGTACTCTCATAGAGGTCTGCGGAAGCTTGGCGACGAGCCTGTCCGGTGTGGACGCCGGCTCGTTTTGTGTGGCAGGTGCAGCACTTGGAGCTCCCCAGGCTCGATCTGTGTAGCAGCCGTGGCGCTTTCAGTACCTTCATAGAGGTCTGCGGAAGCTTGGCGACGAGCCTGTCCTGTGTGGACGCCGGCTTGTTTTGTGCGGCAGGCGCAGCACTTGGAGCTCCTTACGCGATCTGTGTGGCAGGCGTGGCGCTTTCAGTACCTTCATGGAGGTCTGCGGAAGCTTGGCGACGAGCCTGTCCTGTGTGGACGCCGGCTCGTTTTGTGTGGCAGGCGCAGCACTTGGAGCTTCTGAGGGTCGATCTGTGTGGCAGACCTGGCACTTTCAGTACCTTCATAGAGGTCTGCGGAAGCTTGGCGACGAGCCTGTCCGGCTCGTTTTGTGTGGCAGGTGCAGCATTTGAGCTCCCCAGGCTCGATCTGTGTGGCAGGCGTGGCACTTTCAGTACCTTCACGGAGGTCTGCGGAAGCTTGGCACGAGCCTGTCCTGTGTGGACGCCGGCTCGTTTTGTGTGGCAGGTGCGGCGTGTGGAGCTCCCCTCGCTCGATCTGCGTGGCAGGCGTGGCGCTTTCAGTACCTTCATGGAGGTCTGCGGAAGCTTGGCACGAGCCTGTCCTGTGTGGACGCCGGCTCGTTTTGTGTGGCAGGTGCAGCGTTTGGAGCTCTTCAGGCTCGATATGGCCTTTGGAAGCTTGGGCCGGTAGCTAGTTACTTGCTTCTGAGTGTCTGGTAGCCGACGACATCACTAGCAAATGTTGTTGCAGAAGTTATACGCACGCAGTTTTCTTCAACGTGTTCTGACAGCAGTGTGTTCTTTGGTTTCACTTTAACCGGTTCCTTGATGTTCACGTAGGAATCGAGCTCCATGCACACGTAGTAATGTCGCGCGAGCAGTCACTCAGCCTGTGTCCCCTTATTACTAGATGTTCACGTATAAATGTCTCCGGTGACCGCGCCGACGAAGTGGCAGCGTTGCATTATTATTTGGCGCTGCGGAATGGATGTTTGTCAAGAGCTTGGGAAACCGTGAGATTGATGATGCAGACAGATGTTAAAGTGAGATGGTAGTGAGCCATTGAGTGTCAGGATCATGCGCTTCGATGTTCAAGAAACTTGTAGGCTCGGGTTTGCGAGAGCATGATTTTGAGCGACAGCACAGAGTATGAGAGCATGAGTATTAGCGATGTCACCGATTCCAATAGAACGCAGGAAATTGTGTCTTGCTATCGGCAAACAGGTCATGTTGGAGTTGGTCCAGCAGCTTGAGATGTAGGCGCGCCTTTGTGAGAGCATGATTTAGGGCGACAGCGCAGAGTATGACAGCATGAGTTTAAGTATGTCACAGATTCCGAGATAATACAGGAATTTTGTCTTGCTATCTTGTTATCGATCACGTCATGGTGGAGTTGGTACTGCAGCCTGAGAAAATACGATGCATCGGCTTTGATTTACGCGGGTCCTGTTGGCTTCAGCGCAAGATCTTCAGTCTTGTCACAGACGGTCGTAACAACAATTTACAGGACAGCTACGTGGGTTGTCTGCAGACCTGAAGCTACTTGCTGATTCTCTGCTGCTCGAAGCGGTTGGACTGCTGCTGCTCGAAGCGGTTGGACTCAGTGAATAGACACAGCGGATTGAAACTGCTTTGCACAGACCTGATGCTAGTTGCTGATTCTCTGTGCGATTATTTCCGGGCGTTTGTCCTGAATTTATTGGTCGTTGGCGCGTGTCGCACGGGGTCGGAGCTGCCTGTCACTGTGTTGTGGTAACAGGACAATGACAGGCATCTCCAACCACTGAGGGGTGACGTAGCAAGGACTTGGTGGCTCTGGAAGAACTACAAGCACAAGATGCACTCGCTAAGGCTGCGATGGGTTTGGCGGGCCTTGCTTCACCACTTTCGATGTCATTGTCAGCTGGACGTGACCTGCAGACCGCTTACACCGTCTGCTTGCGGTTGTCTTTGATGTCGAAAGCCATGATATGATTTGCGTCCACGACGACCCAGGCACAAGTAACCACAGCACTGGGATAAAACACGAAAACAACATCGGTCTGGTAGATTGCAGTGTGCGCTCTGCCAGATCGTTGCTGTTTTCGTTTTCTGTCCCCAGCCAGACGCTGTATTATTGTGGTGAATGTAAGTCAGTGACCATCCTTTTCGGGCATCTGGAAGAAGTTGCCACCATATAGCGGGTGAACCCTTTAGCAAGCAGTCCGTGTAACTCTGTTTGCAAGCAGTCCGTGTAACTCTGTTTGCATGGGCTGTCACCAGGTTGGCCGCTGTGTGGAGGGTCGCAAGTTCCTGCGTGGCGAAGCGCCTTGCAGATCCACCCGGAACTTGCATATCTGGGAGGCCGAACCCTTTACCAAGCAGTCCGCGTAACTCTATATGCGTGGGCTGTCACCGAGTTGGCCGCTGTGTGGAGGGTCGCAAGCCAACATCCTTCTGACGCGCCTTGCTGATCCCACCCGGAACTTGCATATCTGGGAGGCCATTGACGTACACCAAAAGACAGCGGAATGAACCAAAAAAAGGGGATGCGCTGCCGTTCATCGAAATTGATTCACACTCTTTAAATGTTTTTGCTCTGATCCATTTGAGAGTGTGGGTTCTGTTTCCTTGTTACTCTGGATTGCAGGTATGGGTTGCGGACACCCTCGTGGGTAGCTGAGCTGCTCGCATAGTCCCATGCGATCGTTTTCTCCACTGCTGACGTGCTCAGGTCGCTACCTTCATCCTTACCAAACAGTTCAACTGCGGTTGTGCTGACACCACGTTGGCGACCCATTACGATCGGCGTGACGACATGTGAGATATAATCGCGCATAACTCAACATTCGCCTAACAGCACTTCTCGACATTATACACTTGTCACGAGATACAGCATCACCCACTCAACCCCCCCTTACATATCTCCACTCATCTCACTCCGCTCGTACTCATCAGTTTATCATCCGTTCTATCACACACCCAACACCTTACATGTCTCCACTTGCCTCAGTTTATCTTCTTCGTATTCTTCTTCTTCTGTTTCGATGTGTGTATTTTTTTGGCTTCGCTCTAGTCAGTTCTATCTTCAAAGAGTTATTATCATGTGGGGTTATCCGGTCCTCTAATTGAAGAACCCGGACTCAAGAGGGACACTGGTTGAGACGATGCAGACACAGTCGGACAAGTTTTCGAGGCCAGGCCAGAATGAGCGAAAATACGGGGCTAGGAATTTTGGTGCGCTGGTGTATGACAATATGACGAAGTGGAGGTGGACTATCCTAAATGCACTTCACGTGGCAGGCGCGGTACTTTGGAGCCCGTAATGCGATATTTCGTGGCAGGTGCAGGACTTGGTCGCTTCAGGTCGCTGATTCCTTGCGCCTGCCATGCAACTGACAGTCAACACACAGTCAACACGACAGTCAACGCGAGCACTTTTCCTGACAATTCTCAGTCGAAGCGCTGATTTGGACAGCTGCAGCCCCAACCCCAGTCTTAGATTGGGAATTCTAAAGTTTCCTCACGCAACGCACGTTTTGCTTGAGAATTCTCAGGAAAAGTGCTCGTGTTGACTGTGAGTTGACTGTGAGTTGTTGACTGTCAATTGCATGGCAGCTATATAAGGTATAGCAGGTTCCAAACACGGCAACAGTAGATACTGCGAAAAAGACGTGGAGAGGTGCCACCTTTGTGGGGTTGTCACAGGTTGTGTTGACTATGATATGGCATGATGCCGATCAACGTTAGCAAAAAAAATCCCCCAGGTATTGCCTGGTAGATCACATTATATCTTTGTTGAATAACGTCACACTATTCGCCAAAAAGTATTCTTTGCGCACAAGAAAGTACACTTAGTCAACGTATCACAATCGGCCACATTTTTATATAACTTCCATGTATCAAACTGACAAATGTTCATTGTTTTTAATTTGTGTAAACGCTCTGGTAATATTAATTTTCACTTGGATATATCTTAACTTCTCATTCCACAGTTGGTTTAAAACTTTAAGATCAGCGTCTTAATTGAATAGTATAACTTTGGGATTGAGTTACATACCTCCTTGTTGAAGCTATACATTGATAGGCTATGTTTGTTATAAGTGTCTTCATCCTCAACTGTGCAACTCTCAACTGAAGTTCTGTTCAACTGGCTTCTGTGTTTGGATTGTAAGTTTGACTTTGTTCAACTTTTGGTTCAGTTCAGTTATAACTTATGCTTGGCATAAACACTTTTGTTTGGTTTTGAAGTGTTAAAGACAATATTTAATACCTGTTCCATTTCCTTAATCGATACCCCCTTTCAGTCAACTCATCTCCGCCCATAATTTCACACGTTTTTCTTATCAAGAGCATTTTTTTAGTTGTCCCACTCATAAGAGCAGTGTCATAAAATTCATTAATGCATTCCTCGGGCATACATTATCTATGTGTGATGACCCTTTTCAACGTCTATCGAATTGTGTCAGCATCTTTTTGGCGTGTTTGTATCATAGCGCCAGATTTCGACATTAGCTGCGTCTGTCAAATTGTCATTCAATACATTCATTCCTTTACCGTTCTTCTATTTTTTCTCTACTGACCCTGATTTGATACAGCTTAAGTTGTCATAACACATTGTCAAGTCCTTAAACTAAATCAATCTTTCTTTATCGTCTCATAGAGCTTTGGTATGTCTTCTGCATTTTTCCTTTGAAAGTTCTCTTGCGTATAAGGTCCTTAGGAAAATCTGTCGCGTTTATATTTTGAAGGCTGACAGTGAATTCATAGACTCCTTGATGTGTAAAGGTTGGTTTTCGTTTGATACCAAGCTCTTTGAAGCCCTTGTAGATCTATCTATAGTATTGACTTAGACATGCATGCGGGAGGCAAAAATGGTAGATGTTTGGAGGGGTAGCATATATACATATATAGATATACAATTCCAAATCACAGAATGTACTAGTACTAGCATGTTGTTTCAGAGAAGAAGAGCGTCATTGCGAAAGCCAGCCATGGGAGAACGAAGTGAGTAAAAGGGGGTGTGGGGGGGTAGACGGGCCGGCGTCGCAGAATGTAGTGAACATGTATGGTTTTGGGGGTCTAGTGATGCGAGTGATGCAATTGACACCGAAGAGTGCACCATTAGCATCACGAAGAGCTCAGGAGACTATTTGGACAGTTTTTCATCCGGAGAGTGGGACGCCGCCAGGCCTCACAAAATACGTGGCTTTCAGCCTTTTGTTTTTGAACCCATACATATGATGTTTGTGGTTGTTTACAGGTCCTATTCAAAAATGCTACGTTGTATGTTGACGACGTAGTATGTTGACGACGTAACATCATCAGTATATCTAAAGTATTTCTCAATCAGCTTAGTTGTAGGTATTTGCAAGTATATAGTTATTGTATTGTTTAGTTTTTGTTCATCCTCTTCTGTGTTCAGTCCCTGAAACAGTATTCTTCCAGCAACATTTTATGTTCAAACATTTTGTGAGTCTTTTCATCAACACATTGTTTCATAATCTTTGGTATTTGTCAGCCCATGAACTGGTTTTTGTTGTTTGGGATCATGCGTTGCAAAAAAAAAATATTGTTCAACAAACTATTTGGTGTTCCAGCAAACACTTAAACCGATGAAATAGATTTGGTCAATTGCTACGACGTCAAATTCTGAATACCTGGTTCATTTCCTCAATTCTGCTAACATTATCATCAGTATCGATCTCATCTTTTTGAATCTCTCTATTTTTAGACGTTGGTGTTTCTACAATTTGATTTTCTACAACTTTGTAAAGTTCATTAGGTAATTTAGTTCCGCATACTTGCTTACTATCCAGCCTCCAATCTTTCAGAATGTCGTAGGCATTTGCTGGAGTTTCTTGCTTGGGAGGGGGGTCGACCGAAAAGATTAACCTTTTTGCGCCGATTCTTTTTTGTCGACCCTCCTCCTGGCCTTTGCCAAAGGCTCCCAATCTGCTACACATTAGGGAAGGGAAGTCAGGGTCTTTTACTCGACCCTGCTCTCCTACCCATTGTGAAAGTTTCTACTCTCGTACACATTGATGGTTTTTGATTGGGATCAGCCAAAAAAAATGTTGCTATCATTACTATCTGGATACCATGGCACTGAGGATTTGATAATTCTGTGGAATTGTTGCTGTATATAAAAATAATAAATACAGTGCATGTTTATAATTCACTGTATTTCCAGAAGCGTGGAAAACGTGGGACCTGACAACGTTCCTTTCTAGGAGTTTGGGTAGAGGACAGGAAAGGGTGGATTACGTGACAGGAAATGCAAGAAAAGAGGTCGGGAGCTCATCAGGCGTGTCCATCCAGTCAGGGGACAGAAGTGGCGAGATTTGCGCAAGCCAGAATCTATTTGTGATAGAGATAGCGTTTGGACAACGCAGGAGGACATTTGCGGGAATCATTTTACAGCAACGTTTTGATATGCTACCTCCCCTTTGTTCCTTAAAGAGGATACCTCAGATGGAAGAGTGCAGGTAGAGGACACGAGAGGGAATAGAATGCAGTCAGCAACTTCAGAGGTTGCTTGGGGGGTGCCCCTTTTTGTGGTGAAGAGGAAGGGACGTAACTGGATAAAAAAGGGCACTCCTCAGAGTCATAGATGTCCAATGTGGTACGGGTCGAAGTCTATCCCATGTCCAGTAACAGTGGGTGGGAGTTGCTCCAGGCGCTGTGTTTTTCGGCTCTAGCTTTTCGAGTTTCAACGCGAGACTCTGCGTTTCTCAGCCCTCTGCTTTCCTGTGGGTAAAAAGAGTAGAAGGTAACGCAAGAAACGCACAGGCCAACCGGATGTGTCCATCTGGTTAGAGGACCGAAGCGGCGAGATTCTGGTCAAGTTAGAAACGTAGAGATGGCGTTGGGACAACTTGGGAGGAGATTTGCGGGTTTGATTTTGCATCTGTTTTGATATGGGATCTCCTGGAGAGGAATTAGAATGTAGTCAGGAACCTTTGAGTTGGTTGGCGCTGTTCCTTTTTTGTGGCCAAAGGGTTATTAACCGGATGAAAAGGACACCCCTCTGTGCTATATGTGTATATAAATATATACAGAGATGTCTAAAGGAGTTGGAGTGTTGCAGGAATGGCAGTCTATCCTATTACCGGCAATTGCAAATGGCTGTCTATCACGTATTGGCAGCAAACTTTAGACTGCACCGCTTTTAGCAGTACACCGAGTTTATGAGTCCAGCTACAAGACGGGGTGACCAACACCAGGCAAGCGCCCCTCGGTTACTTGGAGGTGTTTTTTTCGTCTTAAGAAAGCCCTACAACCAAAAAAAGGGCACCCCCCCCGACCTGTGAATGTCCTGCCCAAATCACCTTTATGCCCCGGGACTGTAAATGTCCTACTCGACTCGACCTTTCTCCCAACGCATGGGCTCCACTTCTACCATATATCAGCCCTCAATGCCCATCCCTGAGAGCAATCCCAGTGCGCAGACGAATTCACCCTCCATAACCACCTTCATGTCTTCTTAAGAAGGCTGGCTTTCGTCCCCTCCCTTCTCAGGTATGTATAATTCTTGCCCGACACGTGCATCACAGTGTGCAAAAGTCATCCCAGAGGGCACCCCCCGTCTCTGTTGAATTGGACATCAGCGTTTCATTTGGGAGTGAAGTAACCGTTGGTGTTACAGATACAGGCTGCGGCCTGCCCTTGGGTTCAAGTTAAGCCTGCCAGGACCTTACAGTGGAAAGCCCTGCAGTAATTGAAACATGATAACATCTCCCAGGTCATGCTTCCATCAAAGTCAACATCCGTGCAATCAGACGATGACTACTGGTCATCTTGGAGTGAGCGCTGGGATCAGGCTGCCCTGAGAATCTGACTTACATCACGTCTATGAATCTATGACCTCGAAGTAGGGAATTTGTTTGACTCATCCTTGGCGCTAGTCATTTCCAGTTCTAATGATGCAGGCCAAGCGCCATGCGCAAGGTGTTGCAGAGCTGTCCTATGCCAGAGACTAAACAATCCACGCCGTCGCGTAGTCTATGCAGCTGAAGAACTGGTTAATTACACTGTTACACTAGTTGCATATGGTTGCTATGAGGCACTGCTGGCAGCATGGGACATGCTCACTTCGCTGCCGGCTTGCGCCTAAAAACCCGGGAAGGGCAAGCACATGCAAGCACATCTCCAATGCTTAGCCTCGGGCGGACAAGGGCAGTTTCGGTGGCCTTCACTTTTCTTAGGTTACATCATTGGGGCCAGATTTCTTGTGGAGGCTGCTGAAAGTCGTGTTTGGCTCAGCGAACCTTACTTGTGTGGTTATTCACGCATAGGTTTTTCTTGAGTGAACGCCTGTAAAGCCAGCTGGCCAACAGTTTGGATTTCTGACACGAGGTCTTCAAACCCTTTATGATGCACATTGTCTCAACACTCCAAGCCATTTCCTTGCTGGTGTGCCAGGGAAAGTGATTTGCTTTAGTGCAGCTTACAGCTTACGTGTTTGTTTCAAGTGGCCAGGTTTTAACCTTGTATTGGCTTGCAAGTGGTAACGAAATCCCCTGGTGTGCGGTGCCAAGCTTTGAGTGTGCAAAAGTATGACACAGTGCCCTGCAGGCTGCTGCAGAGTAAGCAGTTCATTGAGTTTGTAGTGCAGATCATTTGAGTAACGTTTCCTCATGAGATGTGAGATGTGTCAAGATGGAGTTGAACTGCTGCTCTTGCCGGAATAGTCAAGTTAGTCAAGTTCGGTCAAAGAGCTTGAAGGTGTTGTGCTTCATGTTTTGAACACAACTATAAGTTTGAGAACTTGAGAAGAGCTAAAGCGTTGGGCTTGTGCAAAGACGGCCATACTTGTATTGTACGCTGAGGTCCAAAGCAGCTTGTTCTAACTAATTTGATGACCCAAGGAGCATATGTATTGGCGTTTAATTCTTGTTCAGCAATCTCTTCATTGCTCCAACTGTTTCTTCAACTTGGTTGAGGAGACACCCTTCTTTGTGGGTTGGCGGGAGCATGGGTGCCGGCCAGAGCTGACGTGGACTGTGCAGACTTAAGATGAGCAAAGCGCTTGAGGTGCTCGCATGGCCAGTTGTGATCCCCTTCATTCTCCTGATCGTGCGCCTGCAGCGAGTTTTTTTCCTTGCTCACGGTCTTGTTGAGGACATCTATACCATAATTTGTTTATACTCGTCTTTCTGTGTGAAAGGCACTATATACAAGGTGTGATGCTTCCAAGCAGGTCTAGAAGGTTCCAGAAGGGTTTCACAAGGGTTCTGAGGGGTTCGTATCGTTTTGCATGGCATGTTCCAGTAGATTCGAGGTGCTATAAGATTGTGGGTTCGTTCTGGTGGAAGAGACACATGGGCATTTGGTTTAAGATTCCAGGTTGCAGCATATGGATTCTGGAAGGTCAATCAAGGCTGAGGTTGCAGGCAAATCTATGAGGTGAAGACTCAGGTTCTTATAGGTTGTGGAAAAACGTCCAGTGTTTCAAGTATAGGGTTGTAGCGTTCTCTTTAGGTTGTTTAGGGCAAGATTCCGCGAGTCTGGCAGGTTTTTTTTCGAGGTAGTCTAAGTTCTATTGGCTTTCAGGCAGAATTTCAACAATCTTTTGCAATGTGCCCTGAAGAGAATTGCCGTGGAAGGCAGAAACAATAGCAGTTCCAGCTATTGGGGGTTCGCAATGTGTTTATTAGTTCTTGAATTACACAGTGTGCACACAACAAATATGGACTGATTGGACAGAGAAAGAGGCGGCAAACTTCATGATGATTCGAGTTTGCTTCATTCTACCTGGCAACATGAAGAAGGACCAGGAACACCTGGAGCATTTGACAAGCTGGTTGTTTGTAGTTGTGCCTCAGAACACCTGAGAACCAGGAAAGCTGCTGGGAGGAGGCTGATGGTGCAGTGAAGCCATGGGAGAGTAGCAACCCTGACTTTCTTCATGGAACCGTCCGTCCACTTTTTCTTGAACTGCAGTATCAAGGTGCAAGTGTGTATCATATGAGGCTCTTTCCTTGGGCCATTTGCAGGACTGTTGTGCACTTTCTTTTCGTGCATTCGTTGTCGCAGAAAACAGCTTGCTTGCACTGTGTGTCGTGCTATACTATCATTCTTTGGAACCGGATGTGCTCTTGTAGGCTCTAAGCAATTCACCGCTCTCTGCCTTCTTCTCATGGATGTCTTGATCTTTTTCGGCCCCATCATGGTGGTGGCCCCACCTCTTCGGCCAAAACGACAACGGGAGCAACGGATCTCATTCGATTCGAGGCGGTCTATGGTGTTCTGGTCGAGATTCTCGCTTACTGCAACGTGCTTGTACGTGGAAACCGCTTTGAGTGCGGCACCTAGTTGCTTGGGCAATGAGAGCCAGAAAGAAGACAGAAAGGGAGGTTGCTGTCGGGGTGTTATCCCTGCTTTTAAGAATCTTTGGAAAGTTTATGGTGAAGTCCTGTGACTGAGGTACAAAACAGCTTCCAAGAGTCTTGCAAGTGGCAAGGAGGTGAACAAGTCATATGGCTCCTGTGAGGGCATGGATTCTACCCAGGCTGGAATCTTTGCACGTAGAACCACAGCCACACGTGACGGAAGATCTTTCCGAGGAAACTCCTGCACTTCAAAAAAAATACTGAGTCTGATGATGTTGAGACAGGCCAGAAATAGAGTTTGGATCCAATTACATAGCCCAATAGCTAGCAGTCATGACACAATTTGGTTGGCATGAGTACCATCCCAATGCTACTTGAACCGTGCCAAATCAAAAAGGCGTCTTTGTGTTCTTTTCCGAATCTAGAAGGTGGGAGAGGCTGGCAACGTGACGCTGAACAGAATGAAAGCCACGCGACATGCTTCAGACCTTTGGCAGTTTTGAGCTCCCATGCCCTCTTCTTCCACTAGTTTGTTGACTAAGAACGTCTCTTTGTGTTGAACCAGCACTGCTTGGTGAAGGGAAATTTGACGTATGCTGGCATGCTGTGCACATTCTTTGTACATGTTACTCATTCTCGTGTGTCAATGCTCCTTTGGCTCCCATTCAGCACAGGACACGTTTTGTATTCAAACCACCCCTTCGGCATACTTGATTATCAGCTCACCCTTATGAGAGTTTGGCCGTTGGCTCCAAGCTTATCCCGCTTTTGGATGCTTTCCATGCCATAGCTGTGTCAAGTGAGCATGGTGGGTCGATTACCAAGCTTTGTGTGAAGTGTGCCTTCTTTGGAATCACTTTAGCGATCTTAACTGTCCTTCCCAAAAGTGTCATGTGCTTCTAGATGGAAAAGCGGAACGGTGCGGATCGTGAAGATGATCGTGATCGTCCAAAAGACCGTGATGATTCGAAGAGCTTTTGGAACGGGTCGGTGAGTGACAAACGAAAGATGGAACGCACAGTCGACCGCACGCGGGGCACACGCTCGCTTTTCAAACCTGGACTGGCTATTGCTTATATCTATGCCAGTGTAGTATCAGTCGTGTGGCAATTGTGGCCGAAACATGCGAGCGTGGAAGATGAAACTGACTCAATCATAGGACGGGCAACCGAGCACGAGGAGACAAAGGAGAAAGGCCTTGGAGCTGCATTTGAACTGGAAATCAAAAGCGAAAGTCACACAGCCCGTGGCACAGCGCGTGGCACAGCCCGTGGCTACCTTCCATCTTTGACAGCTCAAATAGCTTCTGATGCTGCAGCCCGCACCCAATCGATGATAGCTGATGTGACACCGCATGGGAGTTTAGCCTTGGAGTCATTCGACAACGTTGGGCGAGCCTTTGAGACCTTCGGAGATCATTTACATGTGTCTTGGGGATGGATGTATCAGGGTACAACTGGGCTAGTTGGAGATCAGCGCAAGCAAGAGACGACCAAGGGCTTTATGCCAAAGTCGCTGAAAGTCCTTGGCTCCAGCCTGGGATGGCAAAGTATTTTTGAAATGTCCTTTGCCACAGGAGAGAAAGTAAACTCAATTGACTGTTCTTTGCTCCGCAGTGGCAGACTCCCCAAAGAGGCCAAAGCACAAAAGTGGACTTTGATTTCGGGCGAAGCTGTTGAGCTGCAGTGCCCGAAAGGATTATTTGTGCAGTGGACAGGAACCCTATTGCGGCTTGCTGCTGGAGGAGAAGCACTGCGAGTTCGGGTTTTTTATACAATCGAGAACGCCAATACAGCCACACAGCATGCAAGCATGACAAACATGCCTGTGGGTCTAACCATCTGGGATTTTGGCACTTCATTGGCATGTTCTTCTGGAACTTCGGGAGATTGCTTTGGAAGCAGTGGAGAAGTTGACGGCAGTCCTTTAATAGATCCCGGACGAGGGCTATGGATTGGCATGGAACACCCACGCGTGCTTTGTCACTGTTTTCAAAGCATTGGAACTGCTTTTCTGAGAGTCTTGCTTGGCAGCTCATGGTTGTGGCTATTGTTCTTTTTCCCCAAACACAGTGGGCACACTGAGGGGTTCTTACGGTAGTGGAAAAGCAGGTGTGCTTAGATCGCTGTTCCGCGCGGGCGTGGACGGCTAGCTCGCTGCTATTTACAGTACATTCATGCCTCTCGACATCATCAATGTGCATTTCGACTGCGCAGGCTCGCAAAATCTGCCTGCCGGCGGCGGGTGCTTCTAGCGACTGCGCTCTCGTTGTGGTGCCGCGCACATTTTGGTATATGGTGGTCACTTTTCGTGGCAGGTGCAAGGGAAACCTCGTGTTTTGGTGCTCCAAAGTCCACTTTTCGTGACAGGTGCAAGGGATCGGAGCTGTCTCACTTCGAAACGCAGTTTTCATGGCAGGTGCAGCACTTTGGATATGGTGGTGATCGTCGAAGAGCTCTGATTTCGTGACAGGTGCAGTGAATCGTGACTTGGACATGTGGCTCGTTTGCAGATTTCGTGGCAGGTACAGCACCCTGTGACCCTCGATGTGCAGATTTCGTGGCAGGCACAGCACTCTGTGACCCTCGATGCGCAGATTTCGTGGCAGGCACAGCACTTTGTGAACTTTGATGTGCCGATTTCGTGACAGGTACAGCACTTTGTGAACCTCGAGCTGCAGATTTCGTGGAACCTCGAAGCGCAGATTTCGTGGCAGGAACAGCATTTGGTGAACCTCGAAGTGCAGATTTCGTGGCAGGCACAGCACTTTGTGAACCTCGAAGTGTAGATTCGTGGCAGGCGCAGCACTTGGTGAACCTCGAAGTGCAGATTTCGTGGCAGGCACAGCTCTTTGTGAGCCTCGAAGTGCAGATATCGTGGCAGGTACAGCACTTTGTGACCCTCAATGCACAGATTTAGTAGCAGGCGCAGCACTTTGTGCTGTCAGATGCTCACTCTCTCACTCACTCACTCACTCACCCACTCATACAGGCTCACACTCACACTCACTCTTCACTCACACTCACATTCACACACACTCACTCACGCTCACATTCGCTCACACTCACACTCTCACTCTCCCACTCACTCACACTCACACTCCGTCACACTCTCACTCTCACTCACAGTCACCCTCATACACACTCACTCTCGCTCACACTCTCTCACTCTCACTCACACACTCACTCACACACACACACTCACGCTCACACTCACACACACACACTCGCTCACTCTCTCACTCTCTCTCACTCTCACTCTCACTCTCACTCTCACTCACCCACTCTCACTCTCGCTCTCACTTTCACTCGCACTCTCACTCTCACTTTCATTCTTACCCTCACTCTCACTCTCACACGCATGGTGGGGTGGGGTGAGGTGGGGTGGTAATGACGTGCTTGTAGCGACGCAAGGATGCAGTTATATGTACCTCACTGTGGTTTCCTTTGTGTATCACAACTTTGCTCTTTTTATTGCATGTGTTTCTACGCAACATCCAAATCTACGGTGAATGCCAATAAACAGTTCAAGTAATGACTCTTCAAGATGACTTCAAGTCGAAAAGTCGAAGGAAGAACACTTTCCCGCAGGTTGTTCAGTGAAATAGACTTGCGTGTTGAGTTGCAAAGTGTTGTGAAGTAAGAACAATTATCGTGAAAACAAAATCTAGGCTGAACTTTTGGATGACTGCGGATCACTTTTATCATCAGACCCATCTTCCTGGGGAAAACATGGGACCTTTGATGCACTGGCAAAGACACTTCAAAAACAAAGCTATTGTAAATACCAACAAAAAATCCACAGACAAGACAATTAGCCCAGCTGGAGGCCCCAATAGCAAGATACAAACCGGGACAAAAAGAAAAATCTGGAAACAGCTGCTGTTTTCAACACATCGACCATCTCTTCTTTGGCACCATCACAACATGACCGGGACACCATCACATGCCTGGGACACAATCACAACATGACCGGGACACCATCAAAACATGACCGGGACACCATCAAAACAGGACCGGGACACCATCACAACATGACCGCGCCACCATCACATGATCGGGACACCATCAAAACATGACCGGGACACCGTCACAACACGACCGGGACACCATCAAAACATGACCGGGACACCATCACAACATGACCGGGACAC